CTTCATAACTCCTGCCGCTTTTGAGGTAATTGCTCCACAGGTTGATTTTAGGTAGTGCTGTAAGATTTGCCTTATTGGGCACATTTGCTATTGCTGAAAACTGAGAAGGTTTTCGGAAAAACCTCCACTTCTGAAAATTCAAGCCTTTGATGAACTGTTTCAAAAACGTCAAAATGAAATTATTTTTTATCAAAATTAAAGTTTCAATATTTTCCTCGTACTCTCCAAGTGAGCCCCTATTACCCCTTAAAAGGAATGACGCCAATTTTAAATCACCCTGTATTGTCTCAATATTCTGAGATCCTTCCGAACAACTTCCAATAATATTTTACCTTCATCCATTTAGCGCCCGAAACAGGCCTTTAAAGTCTAATCGGACTGTTTATTGAGTTTATCTGCTTGATTCTGGGATGTTGTTTATTAGGTACAGTGATTAATTGAAGACCTTTGGCATGATTTCAAATGTAAAGTTATCGCTCTGATGAAGCAAATAACAGTTTATCCGTGGCATATGGAAGATTATCACATTCTAGAATGTGCTAATTATGGCCGTTTTCTTATAATTAATGAAGCTTTTCTTGAAAAATAGCAACAGAGTCTACTTTCATGGGCTAGAAAAAAAGAAAAAAAACAGCAAGTAAACTTGCTGAAAAATCCAGTAAATCTGACCTCAGTATGTCTCCTTGTTTCATATGCTTTACCTTCAACAAGCACCGTTAATCTTATTTATTGAATAATTAAAGTACATGTGCAACAGCCTACACATTATTTACTTCGTCTCAAAGTCACTTTACCTTAACCGATTGGCATTAAATTACCGAAAAAAACCTGTTTCTTATACTGTTAACTTCTAGATTATTTTTACACTAACTTTTCCTTCTCGTTGCAGAATTTCGTAGAAATTAAATAAAATGTGGCTTTTTACCTTCTCTTAGATGCGATTTGGTCTCGTAGTTGCACACCACAACTTTGCCACCAGGAGTGCTGGGGGTTGTAACAGCCCCCCAACTACCCACAATTAAGGTGGCAAAAACCGTCAAGATTCGTACTGGAATCATGTCGCTTCGCACTCAAAATCAGCAATGATTCGTTTGTTTTTACGATTTTGCCGGCACCGGTGCCGGCTATCCTTAAAGGTGGACGCATACGACCGGATTTCCATAAATCTTGCCTCACCATACAGGGTGATACGGAAAACTGTCCATCTACAAGGTGGTGACTTTCTTGGGCTGTTAGGCCGTCATGGAAAATATTCTTCCTAACGTTTCGCAAACACGAGTGAGTTGCATCTTAAGAAGTGGTTGATGCGCCAAGCATAATAGCTATGTTTATTGAGGAAAGGTTCGATGCCTTTTTGCAACTTTTTCGATGTTATTCTTGGGCCACTGCTGTTCACCAGAGCAATTTTTTGTCCTAATTTCTTATTTGGTTTGTATAATCTTTGACGTTCAGCACTAGTTCGTGGTTGATGATAGCTACTTTGAGTTGATCTATTACTTAATGCTCCTTTTTTAGCACGAAATCGTTTTTGGCGTTCAACATTACTTAATACTTTTCGCATTGTAGCATGTTTTTGTGACTGCTCTTGTGTATTTTGTTCATGAACGTCTGCTACAACTAATCTGAATATGACTACAAAATCAATTAATTTTGGTGATTGGAAGACGTTATATCTGTTTAAAATAGACGGTAAAACGAGGAAGAGCTATAGAGACAGGATACACTTGACACACTATATGTATACATAATGTAAGCCATCGCGCGTATGTTCAAAGAAAAAGTTCTAACTGAACTAATCCAAGGCTAAAAAAATTAAACTAAATTGAGAAGATTTAATCATAAAGGAATCAAAGGGTATATGAAGGGAAAAAATATATTTTGATGCGTGGTAAACACAATTAATCATAGAAATAATATAGAGAATTGAAAATAAGCCCTAATAAATTCGTTTTACATATTTTGCAACTATAAGCTGAAGAGTGATTCGTATCGTCTTAACATCAAGAATGCGTTGCGTGGTAGAAAATAAGAAGACGAAACCCATGTTTTCTGAAATAACCGAGGTAAACTCAAATATTTTTTCAATTAAATTCAAAACATATTTATTATATATTATTAC